ATTGATGGGCTCTCTGGAAAGATGTCAATAATTTATGCTGCAAAACACTCGTTAACTTTATCTTCTGACCACCTGGCTCGCAGGATACCTTTATGATCTAGACACCGAAGCTAAAAGCAAACTTTCCACTAAGCTTGTGTGGAATATCAATGATATAACGAAACTAGTTCTCAGTCTTCGAGCGTGTGGAAGAAATTAATAGGGCATTACAAAAATCTTCAAGGTCTCTTGTGAATTGAATATGCATTTTTTGGGGTACCTGTTCGCACGTTAGTACACTCCAATATGGCGGCTGAAAGCAACAAAAATATACGTCTCCGAGTTCTGCGATAAAAGGCTTGCATTCGTCTCCTGAACGCTTATAAACATCTATATGAGTACTCATTCTCATACAAGGACTGTTAATACCGTGTCACACAATAGCCTAGAAACTGAACCTTGCTTTATCACAAAACGAAAAACCCGATCAAGCTGAAAATTTAACTAAACTAAAATCACGTAAGGATTGATAGTTTTTTTTTATTTTTATTTTGATGACGTCACGTGAAAACCAAGAACACAAAGTCTAACCTTCACTAATGGCCAACTCACTACCACGGCCTCCACAACGGCCTCTGTTTTCGGTACCTGCGTGGGCTGTCCATAAATTTACCCCTACCTACATCGGTCTCTTTCTTCTATTCTTAATTAAGGTGGCCATTGTGGAAAAGTGGTTGTGTATTAGTCCATTATTGCTAATCTCAGTAAGAGCATATTTCGTACAAATCTTTGTAAATGATAATCCTTGTAACACGTAAATAAATTTGCATCTATTTATACAAATTTTTGAGTTGCTTAAAATCTCATAAATTTGCCTTCTCTTGAAACAGATGACTTTACAAAGATTCCGTGACCTGCAACGACAAATTTAACAAGTTCGAGTCTATTCCTTGGTCGTGATACAATTTGCAAATTGCTGTTCCAACCGTATTAGGGCTGCCGCGGTTATTGAAGGAAACAGCCGTACAGTTCTGCCCTCATTGCTTTGTATTTATTGGTCCAAGTCTTCGGCCAGAACCTTACGAACCGAGCCCTGATGTGCTGTAGCAACACATGGGAAACCACTGTTTTCTGATCATTGTTACCTTGAAATACCTGAAATTGTCGTAAAAATCGATATGTATCACCTTACTGAGTTCTCATCTTAATTATAATTATTGGAGATTCTCCACTCACCCGTATCAAAAGTGTGTAACGAGAAATTTGGACCACTTAAAAAAAACTCCACCTTAAAATGGGAACAGAATCAATAAAACGTGAGAAGGGTTGTAGCTAATTGTTTGATTTGCAGATCTCTCGTTAAATTCATTGCAGAAGCTCAATGACTCTTATATCAAAAAAAAAAGAAAAAGAAAAAGAGGAGGTTAAGTTCCTTCACAAGCGCAATGATAATGATGATAATTACAATGATAATAATAGTAATGATGATGATGACGACAATAATAATAATAGTAATAATAATAATAATAATAATAATTTCTATGAGTTCTCTCTGGGTCCAGAATATAGCGATTATCTCCCTAGATTATTGATTTTATTTCATATATCAAATACCAAACAAATGACTCACCTTCACCTCATCGTTCTCCTTATATGTCACCCAGTCTGTCTCTCCTTCGGCACGTGATAAAAATGTGTAAGTCTTTACCCAGTGATAGGCACCGCGTTTTCCCTGAGTAGCGATTTTCTTGACCACTGCGTCCTTTGCAAGGTCAATTTGAAGCCAGGGCCCAGGGTAACTGTGGTCTGCAACCCATGCAGAAGGGGAATTGAGGCGAACGCGACTGGGCTCTGCTCCCTCTTTCACAAACGATGAAGCATTTATCGGCTGAGTCTGGGATTCTGCCATCTTCCAGACCAAAGGCCTCCATAGTACATACTTTCAAGAAAAGACCAAAATTCAATTATTCATAGAGTTCCTAGCCGTACTTCTTTAAATCCATTCATAGAAAAATTGTCCTAGTCGTTATTACAAATAAAGGAGCAAACTCTTCATAGGGAAATTCCTCCCCCCCTCCCCAACCTAACCATTACCACCATCACCACAAACACGAAGAAAGAGACAGTACGTGTAATCCCAGATTCATCCAGTCGCCGACAAAATGGACCAGAGAAACTGTATGGTCATTCCATCACGCTCTATTTTTTTTTTCCAAGAAATGTAACGGGTACCACTGAGAATATATATGACAAGAAAATTTAAAGGATGAAAGTATTACATACTAGAAATAATGCTTCCTCAAAAAGGCAATGGACTAAAGTGCCACACAGACCCAGCAGTTTTAGAACTTTAAAATACAGATAAATCAACGACGACGATGACCTTAACTATCAAGGCAGTGTCTGTAACAGCCTGAGAGCTGATATTTTTAGTTAAGTCGGGAAATGTTAGAAAAAGATGATAGCATTACCTTTACATTTTCTGCTGCCACCAACAACCAGACATATCTCCTCTTGATTTCTGCATTCGTTGTCATAGTAACATGGGGCAATAGTAATGTACAGCGTTCCGCCTGAGATATATGACCATGTTTTGTCAACATTAAAATTAAGGTTATTGTCTTATTAATTTTGTTCTCCACACTGGATGCTTGGGAAACATGACATTGTGTAATTGATGGGCTCCCTGGAAAGATGTCAATAATTTATGCTGCAAAACACTCGTTAACTTTATCTTCTGACCACCTAGCTCACAGGATACCTTTATGATCTAGACACCGAAGCTAAAAGCAAACTTTCCACTAAGCTTGTGTGGAATATCAATGATGTAACGAAACTAGTTCTCAGTCTTCGAGCGTGTGGATGAAATTAATAGGGCATTACAAAAATCTTCAAGGTCTCTTGTGAATTGAGCGGGAGTATTTGTAAACGTTTTTTAACTCGTGAAACGATTAATTTAGGGATTCGATATGAATTTTTTTGGGATGCGTGTTCGCACGTTAATAGACTCCAATATGGCGGCTGAAAGCAACAAAAACATACGTCTCCGAGTTCTGCGATAAAAGGCTTGCATTCGTCTCCTGAACGCTTATAAACATCTATATGAGTACTCAATCTCATACAAGGACTGTTAATGCCGTGTCACGCAATAGCCTAGAAATTGAACCTTGCTTTATCACAAAACGAAAAACCCGATCAAGCTGAAAATTTAATTAAACTAAAATCACGTAAGGATTGATAATTTATTTTTTTTTATTTTGATGACGTTACGTGAAAACCAAGAACGCAAAGTCTAACCTTCACTAATGGCCAACTCTTTAACACGGCCTCCACAACGGCCTCTTTTTTCGGTACCTGTGTGGGCTGTCCATAAGTTTACCCCTACCTACATCGGCCTCTTTCTTCTATTCTTAATTAAGGTGGCCGTTGTGGAAAGGTGGTTGTGTATTAGTCCATTGTTGCTAATCTCAGTAAGAGCATATTTCCTACAAATCTTTGTAAATGATAATCCTTGTAACACGTAAATAAATTTACATCCATTTATACAAATTTTGAGTTGCTTAAAATCTCATAAATTTGCCTTCTCTTGAAACAGGTGACTTTACAAAGATTCCGTGACCTGCAACGGCAAATTTAACAAGTTCGAGTCTATTCCTTGGTCGTGATACAATTTGAAAATTGCTGTTCCAACCGTATTAGGGCTG